CGTGACCCGAATTGGTCGTGAACAGAAGCGTTCGTGACCCGAGGTACCACTGTAATTGCTTGTAAAAAAAGGTACACCATTTGCAAAATTAAATGATACCCATTTGCACATACCAACCATTTTCTCACAAATGCCTCTCTCATGCAGATGAGCATATACTCTCCTCCCTTCTTCAAAAGAAACATCAAAAAAGAAAAAAAAATACCAGGATGGAGATGGGGGTGACAGGAAGGTGTAACTGCACTTGGAAAAGGAAGGAAAGACAAGGGGGAACAAGCCATACAGAAAGGGAAAGAGGTAACTGGGCAGGAGAGGGCACAAAAGCCTTGTTTCTTTTTTCTTTTAAGCATGCCAACCCTTCATTTATTTTAATTAAAAGGAAAAAAACCCTTAGACACTCTTTTGCCTACTCTTGAGGTATATTACTGAAAAAGAACTTTATTAAGTTTCAACAAAGAATAAAATATATGTTTCTGTGTTGCAAACAGGCTGAATTCACAAGGGAAACAGCCCCTCTCAATCCCCAGCTAATCTTCAGTGCTAATTCTACAACATTTAAATGGATTAATGCTAATTCCTTTGTTTTCAACTATTTTTCCTGTCCTATCAGGGAATGCAAGACAGCTCCACCTTTTCTATCATTTGCCCTCCCACTCATGACCAGTTGGCCAACTAGAGCAAAATGAGAATGTGGCTTGCATTTTACTTTGATAATGGACACATTGGCGAATAATCAGTTGCTTATTGATTGCAACTGCGTCTTAGTTTGATCTGCACGCAACTTTAGGGCTAACGCTGGCCCACAACTACCTCTGGCGTAGTGCGAAGCAATCATATGTGTTGTGAGGGTAGTCACTGAGAGTATTAACCACTGATTTGAAGTGTGTAAAAATTGGTAATTGTTGCCACCAAGTGCTGAGAGACAGGCAACTTGAAGCCACTTTGAAGCACTCTCATCGGTCAGGTCTTTGATCTTAGAATTAGATCTTTTCATCCATGTCTACACTTTTTGGACTGAATAACAATCCTGTCAATGAGAAACTAAGCAGAAGGAAACTAAGCAGAAGGAAACTGTTGTAAACTCAAAGAGTGCACAATGTAAAAATTCTTCAGTTTTTCAATTTGACTCTAAATATGTAACGAAGCCCAACCTCCTACTGAAGTTCTGCAAAACAATCCAATAATTGTAAGAGTTAATCTTTTTTGAAAATTCATTTAATAAGTATAATGTCATAGAATTCCCATCTAGGTGCTGATCCAGTCCACATTGGCTTAACTTCAACAGTGTTATAACATCAGATAGACCACATACTATTTGTAAGTTTTACTGGTGCAGAAATACCGAACATTTTTTACATTTTATTTTGGACATGTGCATAAGTGTCTTAAGTTCCAGGTTCACACTTTGCAAGCTGGTATTCATTTAATCAGTTTTACAAAATACCAAGTTCTATGGGAGCAAAAAACAATTATCCAATGGCTTACATTAAAACTCAAGTATATAAAATCTACCACTTAAGCTCAATTTATTTGGTTTCGGCGTGCAAAGGTACACATATTTAAGCAGCCCCTGTAGGGCATCATGACCTACATACAACAGTACATGAATACATTCCTCATTCCAGGTTCCCTAAACACATGGAGATGCCTGATGCCCACATAGAGTGATATGTAGATGTTCAGGATGGAAAGACAGGTGGGTGTGGGTTGGTGAGTAAATGGCTGAGCCATCCTTCCTGCACTATACCTTCTCTCCCTTCCCTCTACCTCAGTATGAGGATGAGAGTGAATTTCCTAAGGTGGAATAATATAAAATGAAGTCTCAATGTAAATAGATTAAATGTAATGTGAAAATGTGAACACCAATGGCTTGATGAACAGCATCAGCGCTTGCATGCAGCAAAAGCTATGCAATGTGCAGCAGGCAGAGTAGAGGCATTAGTTGAAATGGACCAGGTCATGCAATTATTTGGAAAGAAGCTGCTGAGGAGAATAATAAAGTGTGGATACCTGTGTGGATCATAGCTTCCTCCATCTTTATTTCCTGATATAGGAAAATACAAGAGTAACTTTTGTTAGTGTTTAGATTTGGTAAAATCATTCACAATGTAGCTTTCCATGCACAGCATCTAATTCCTAAAAATAATTTTTATGGGGTTATAATTAAGTAAAGAAGCAGTCCAACAAAGATACCTGGGTAAGGTGTGTTCTAAAATAACTAAAATAGGACAAAAAGATGATTAAATTATAAGAAAAGGGAAATGTTTATTGGTAAAAGAAACAAAACTGTAAAAAATTTGAGAGATAAATCTCCAAGGAACAAACCCATAATTTCTAATTGTGTTTCAGATGATAAAAGATGGACATCATGCCCCTTTTCTGGGAGGAAGTGAGGAGCTGATTCAGCTGTGCACTTCTTTAATAGGACTCGATTATGCTGTGCAAACCTGATGCCAATACAAATTCCTTTCTCCTATTGACAGGTCAGGTTGCTATTGCTCTAAGACAGTGTTTCTCAACTCAGCAATCTTAAGATGTGTAGACTTCAACTAGCAGTATTCCCCAGCCAACTGACTGGGGAATTCTGGGAGTTGAAGTCCACACATCTTAAAGTTGCTGAGGTTGAGAAACACTGCTCTAAAGTGTGTAAAAGGAGGCAAGTTTCAGGCTTTGTCCAACTTCAGTGGATTGCCTGGTCACTAGGGAACTGTAAAACCAACTAACATGAATATTTTAAATGACAATACAGAGGACATGCAACATTAAACATTTAATGAACATTAATAAAGACATATTAAGGTCTCATAATCTAACTAAGAGTAGTTTATTTCTAAAATAAAAATAAATGGCCTGTATGGAGGCCACATACTCTTATCTCAATTTCCCAATGGATTTTGGGAAAAAATACTAGACTGATTTATTTATAATGGGAAACTATCGTATAGGGTAGAGATGATTTCTTCATCTATCCTATCTTTTACTGCTTACATTGGAAAAAATGCTGGTCTATTATAAGTATGTAGAACAAACCTATAATATGGGTAAATAAGGAAATTGCTTGTTTTTCTCACATGATTATTCTGTTGTCATGTATTATTCATATGTTCAGTGAAACGCATTATTTTCTTGAGCTTTGAAGTACTTGTCAAGCACCATATTTTGATCATGCTTGTAACTGTTACCCAGCAAGAAGTTTCACAGAGAACGTAGCTATTCCTTGTAATAATTAAGAAAGAAAACAATGTTCTAATTTTTAAGCCATGGGTTGTTACCTGTGTCAGGTCCCTTAGGTCTCGGATTGCACTGCTTATAACCTTGACAACTTCGTAGCTCCATTAGCTGAAGATGTAGCTGGTTCAAAATGCCTCTTTCTACCGTGTGAACTGAATTTGTTAGCTGGGCATAAAAAAGAAAAATGAATGCCTGCACCTGCAAAAGGTGTGAACTTCAAATGATTATGCCTACCTACATGGACTTTCATCAAGTTACAACTACTTATCACATATTCCTTTGCAGTTATACTATTCCCTTTGGAGCACATATGCCGGAATCTAGTGTTTGCTCAGTGCTACCTGCATCATGTAGTAAGAGAGCTGCAGTGTATGCATATCTGTATGCTTGGATCAGAACCTGGACATGAAACTGTCTGGGGAAACAAGCTTACATTATTTTGAGTTTCATTAAGACATAAAATGGGATATAAATGGAGTGTATTAATAGTGGCTTAACTAACTTGCAGGTAGTATCTCATAACTGAATCATTTTTAACATACATTTACCTGATAGGGGTCAGTATTCATATCAAAATACTCCAAAAATCCTGTAGCAAATTCACAGAAGAGGAAGTTGTGTGTTTCATTTACTGTTCGCAAACACCAGTAAGTGTTGTTGTTGGAGCTTGTACAAGCACAGAATGATCCCACTGTTATGGGGGGAAAAATAAATTTAAGCATATATGTATTCACTTCAATTGAGCAAGGGCAATCCATTGATAGCTCCATAAAGATATCACAAGCTCCATGCAATAATGTTACATATTACTGGACAATGCTTGTAGAAAGTACACATATAGCTCTTACAAGTGCACAAAAACATTTCTGCAACCCATCTTGTAATGTTAGGGGTGGAAAAAAACTCTTGATGATAACAGCAGTTTGGAAATGGAATTAGCTACCAGGAGAACTTTGCCTCCTTGGTGTTCTTCAAAGCAGAGCCTAGACAGTCAACAGGGCAATGGATTGGCCTTGGTTGCCTACGAGACCTCAACCAGATACACCACTGATAGATAATGGGCACGGCAAGGTTTCCCACCACTATCACATATGTTGCTGTCCCTTCCACCCACCACCAGCTATTTAATCAGGCAAATCTTTATACTCCTACTGGGACAGCCGGAACACACAAGATCTCTGGCTCAGGTCCATTCATTTTGAAACTGTTTTCACTCAGAAAAACTGCACTACATATCTGTAAATTAAATCTAATCAGTTCAGCTCTAAATATAATTCTAGTTTGAATTAACATACCCATTTTTAATGAGCTCATTGTCTTTTCCTCTCCTCTCCATATGAGATCCAGAACAAATATGCCCTCCAACTCCCTAAGAGCTCACATCAATTCTTATTCCCATGAGCATGCATCTACTGGAAGTGGTTCTCACAGTTCCAGAATGGTGCAGTCTGCCAGTGATTGTTGTCATGAGTAAAGCAAGTGAGTCCAGGAAGGCTGCATTCGTCTCCTTTCTTCTGGCGCTTTTTCCCTTTCCTTTCTTTTTTTCTCCTCCGATTCTCTTTGAAGAGCTGAAGTTTACCATCCACCTCTTGAGCTGCTTCCCTAATCACTCAAGAATATTTAATAGGCATTAAGCAGTAGCATACCTTAATAATTAAGGTGTGAATAAACTAAGTCTATGTGTACATGTACACAGTTTTCACATATGAACCGACAACGGCAATTCCCAGAGACCTAATGAAGCAACTGATGCGACCTGTAGCCCACAAACATTATTCAATATTATTTTCCTAGGTTCTGGCAGAGCATCATTGGTGACATTGGCTAGGCTCACTAGTGCTCATGGGAGCTGTCAAATATATGGAAGGCACCAGGGTTTGAGAAGTTAATCTGCTTTATCAAACCTCTGTAGTTTTTGTTTTGCTTTTGTTATTTTTTTGCAGAAGAGAAGAACTGGCTTACTTCATAGTGGAACACAGATGTTAATTCTCAGCTACATTATCTCTGTCAGTAAGAATATAAAGACATAGAATAATGTTTAAAAATGTACATGTTTTTAATTTATACATATAAATCTAACATAAATAATGCTTCCTGCTGTTATTTAGAGCCTACTTTGTCAATGCTGGAATGTGACTACTTTATCTGTTTATTTTCCTATTCATTACTTATGCTGCATTTATCAGATAGTTAATAACTTAATAAGCATTTTTCAACCATGGCATTATGCTTTAGAGCAGCTGTTCTCTAGAATTTAGGCTGGCCCACTCGATAACTCTCTCTGCTAGAAGCTAGTGAAGACTAAAACCTTGCAGATGATGATTGGGATATGATTGTTTGCATCATCATCATCATCATCATCATCATCTACTGAATTTGGATATATAAAAAATACAAAGAAGACACATTAAAACCCAAGCAGCTGTAACTCTAAGGGAACAGTGAAATACAGATAATCACTTTCTAATAAAAAAAACACATAAACTAGACCCTATAAAACCTACTAATAATATATAACTAATTAAAAGGAAGTGGACAGGTTCTTTGAAGCTGTAAGTGTGGCCCCTTGTGTTTTAGATCCATATCCCTCTTGGTTGGTCAAGGTCTCCTGGAAGATGACTTGCAGATGAATCCATGAGGTGGTGAATGTACTGTTAAGAGACTAGGTGGTTCTGCAGGCTCTAACCCTTCCTCAAGAAACCATCATTGGATCCTATGAAACTGGACAAATTTCATCCAGTCCCCAATATTCCCTTTTTTAGAAAGTGGTTGGGATTCAGCAAAGGACCCTGGAGAAAATGGATTACCTAGACCCCTTTCCCCCTTCATGGATCACTGCCTTGTCGTGGCGAAGGGGCTTGCGTAACTCAGTGAAG